ATGCATAGCAAATAGTTTTAACACTTTTATGGGCATTTGATGAATGTTCTTGTTGTTGCCGTGGATGCGACAGCGGTTGGCTGCAGCATGGCTAAGTAAGCTGGTGTTATTGATGTGGCAGTGGAGTTTGCTGTTGGGATTTGCTCCACCAATGTTGTAGATATGAATGCCAGTAGTTGAAGTGTTGGTGTGTTGTTGTTGTTGTTGTTGTTGTTACAGCAGTTTTGGTACTTGCCACGGCTGCTGAATTAGCATAAAAGTGCGAAAATTGCCAATTACCTGTGGCACACAGCGACAACTGCTGACGGCGCAAGACCTAAGCATGTGGATAAGGCAAGCCAAACTGTCAGCAGCAGCTGGACCCAATAAGCCAACAACAACAAAAGCGCACAAAAAAATCATGCATGTATACATATATGTATGTACGAGTATGCAAGAGTGCTGCGCTGCATTAGAGGAAGTGTGGCGAATCTTTTTGTTGCATAGATACATACATACATACGTGCATACGTGCATACGTATCCCCATATAAATGTATCATGCAGTATGACAACAACAACTGCACGTGCGTAACTGAAAATCAATTAAATCTGTTTTGTTTTTTTTTTTTTTTGTTTTTTCTTTGCATTTTTTTTCCATGTTTCTGGAATGCGCACGCTTTTCCAGTTGTTGGTGGCAAACAAAAAAAAAGTAAGGAAATTTAGAATTTTCTGCTTATTTATTTATTTCTTTTTTCTTTTATGCAACAAATCACAAATAAAAAGGCGCAAAAAGTGCTGTAAACTTGGTCTTGGTCACGTTCGCTGGATTGGCGCGCCAACGCGGGTGATTGCATTTAGTGCATTTTCGCTAGAAGTCGGCCAACAAAAAATCGAGTAAATATGCCCGGTAGAGATATAATATGTATGTGGCCGACAATTTGAGTGGCCCCAGGTGTTGTCAGCTGACGCAGCTCGTTCGACGCTTGCTAGCCCTGTAGGAAAACCATGCTTTACGAGTTTGGAAGCGCTGAGACTTTCGGCCGAGCCCTCCCACTATTTCGTGGTGTGCATCTTGATGTTTTTGCAACGTTTCCTTTTGTCTTTTTGTAAGATTTCCCAAGCGTCCTGTAACGCCTGCGTTACCTAGTAGGCTCGGTTGAACAGAGAATTGCTGCTAAGTCGGAAATTAGGCCTTTCAGTGCTCGAACAGTAACAAATAGCGAAATCAGTTGTCAATTTCGTCATCTCGTTTGAAATAGACTGATCGATAGCTGTACTCAATTTAAATTATTCAAACTGCAACTAGATCACGGATGTCGACCTTAGAACCTGCGACTGATCTAAGACAAAAGGTCCAAAAATTGGTGCAATCTACTTGACGTGCTCTCCTGCTCTTTAACAACCCGATATAGGAGAACGGAGGAAGGAAGGGATTTCCAAATTTCTTGAGTAACTCCACCAGAGAAAAATTTTCCTTTCAACAATATCGAAGGAAGAGTCGTAAAAATATAAACTAAAAATATCGAAGTGGATATACTTTGGTGACTGATGCCAGGAGTATACAGACTTAATTGAGTGCGCTCTTCTCCCGCCAGTTTAGTTGCAATGTTAAAGAAAACACAATCGATGACGATCCATCACATGACCATGATAAAATTAGAATAACGATTGCCCACTTTGGGACGACTAATCGGTGGATGTCGATGGGTTTCCAAATTATGCTAAGCTTTCTCCGAAGGGCCAATAAGTTTTAAGGAGCAGCTCCTTTTACTTCATGTCCGTAATACGCCCGGAGGGCTGGATATTCCCTGCCGAGGGGCGACCGCAATTAGAAAAATTAATTTTCCATAATTTTAAATGTTTGTCGGACAAAGACTCGAACGTTGACCTTCCGAATGTTAGCACGCTATGCTGGCCTCTTGACTATTGCGACCATCGAAATGTGTGGAATAGAATAGAAATGGGGAAAGCTGTATGAGGTAAGCTATTTCTAAAACGATATATTTAGTTCTTTTATAGACTTAGAGATCGCAGCTTGGTTTAAGACATACAAGGTGACTGGCACGTGTTACTTCCATATACCTGTTCAGGTGGAGGTTCGATCTCATTCAAAGTGTAGTAATCTCCACTGAGAAAGCCGCTAACTTTGAGATCTTTCCTAGTTGTCTTTAGGTTTTTTTGCTTTCGGCGCCAATCGCATCTACTTTTGGATTAGTTTAAAACCTTCTTTCCAATGTACTTACTCTACTTTTCTACGCATAGATCACATAGATGTAATGAGGAAAACAGCAACTCGAAGCCCGACTTTCTGCTCCAGCTTTTGTGGTAAGGTAAATTAGAGTTCTCAGTCGACGCATCAAAGGCAAACTCTACAAGTCCCTTATCATTCCCGTCCTTCTATATCGCACAGAAGCATGTCCTTCGGCCTCCGAATGAATTGGCATTTTTGATATATGTAGTTCAGCGAATGAAAAGAGAACGCCTACGATGGCCACGAATGGATGAAATCACTCCAGCTTCGAAAGGATTCAATGCTGGCGAAGGAAGCAGAGGAAAAGAAGACCTTCTATGTAAAATTTACAACAGGGGTTTCGAACGAGGGGGCTGCGCTGTGTCCGATTGCCAAGAAAATACAAATTCTGATAATCGATCAGACGATCTGAGAAATTTGCCTTTCATAGATCAAGCTCGGTTTCTGTTAATGCAGAAAAAAAATATAAGAAGCGTCATGTATGTTAAATATCCTTGCGGGGTTCACTGCTTGCCTAGCAAACAAAACAGTCATCGTCTTTACGATCGATCTTCCACGGCACCCCCACAAAGCTAACGACTGAGTCAATCAGACTGGCAGCCAGTCGCAGTAAGTCGCAGCTAACTAACCGCTCGCCATGTGGCATGCATTTGTTGTACAATATTTGCGTCAATGCCACCAAGTTAACAACATGCCACTACTCACACGCACACCTACACTTGTAGTGATGTTTGCCTTCACACCGCGTCTCTCCATTTGCCCACACATGTGGGTATGCAGTGAGTTAATCAGCCCACCGCCGGCAGGCAATGTCACCACAGCATCAACACCGGGGCAGCCGCCAAGTGCAGTCCAGTGTCCGTACGACAAGAAGTGGAACCGGCAACAAGCACTTATGTACATGTTCAGCTCATGTCAAGTGACTGGAATTGTTGGGGACACATGAACAAATGCGCAATCATTGTGTGTATGATAGGCTCAGTGTTGTTTCGAAAAAAAAAAAACCAGATATCTGATTTTTCCTAATTTTTTTCTTATTATCCTCGTTGTTGTTGTTGTTGTTGTTACAGTGATAGGTTTCGATTTTTACACATTTCCTTTTTTTGAATGGTATTGTTGTTGCTGTTATTGTTTTTTCTTTTTATTTTGGCCCACGTTGGCTCAGTCAAGCTCAAGAACACACCTTAAACTCCAAAGCATAGATTTCAAAGAATTTGTTGCTGTTGTCACTTTGCCTTTGTCTTTTACTCATAAAGCCAACCTACAAGTTCACATGTGTCTGGCTCAGCGTGTTTCTTAGTGCTCTTGTAGCGCTTGGTTCAATGTCAATTCCGATTCGTCATGGCGCAGCTGAGACTGAGGCTGAGGGACCCACTTATGCCTTGATTTTATTTTACTTATTTATTTTTTCGTTTTCTTTAGAATGTGTCTTTTTTGTGAACGTTCTGATTTGGTCACTGTCATTGAAGACAGAAATAATGAAATTGAAGGGGGACCACCTTGTTGACACAGTGGTCAATACAATAAATTAGCGTTGAAAGTTTAACCGAAGAGTGCGACTTCAGTTTAAATTTATCGTTGTTGTTGTTCGCTAACCCCGCAGGGAGGAGCAGACAAGCTCAGTCTAAGTCATCAAGGTCTTCTAAAGAAGGGTCCAGGAAACGAGCTGTTCGATGGGTCGAAGTGGAGGAGAAAGAGGGGTTACATGAGTTGGTTGTAGGAGGCATGCAAAGAAGTGGTTAATGTCGTTCGGGGACTCAAGTCTGAATAGATGAGAGTTTAGTCGACTACAATATACATATACAGATCTTTGTTGGGCCAGTATTACCCGAGACTCTCGAGGCAGCTCAAGCTCTTCGTCTACAATAGGGGATGTGTTTGACTTCGAGAACGCCATTCAAGGGACCATAGGAAGGTGTTGGTGTTAAATATTTGTTAGTAAGCTGTCTGTCCAGTGGTTCTGTTACCTAGTGCTGAATGCAGACGAAGTACTCTCTTTCTGATATGCGTAGGGGGTGGTTCGGCATCTGGTAAGTGTATGTTGAGGTTCTCCCTGTGGTACCAACTGAAATGCTTCGGCAGGTAGCTCATATGCAGCTTTCTCTACAGCGTGCTTCTTTATGCCGGTCTTCACTTCGCCTTTTTTCTAGTTCCAGGCAGCACACAGAAGTGTTTGTGCTTAAAAGTCTGTAGTCCTCCCACACTGCCTCAGAAGCAGCTGCCTCATTAGGCGAAAAGGAGAAGTAGAGAGTAGCAGTGAAGCGACACGAGCTCTGTTGGTGAAGATTTTTGTTGTCCCCGAAACAATTTTTTTGTTATACGCTTCTTTATCCTACTAAGTGAGAGTTTTTTTCCGGGTTCTGAGTACTTGGAAGTTGTAGTGCTGGTAAGTAGGACATTGTACCAGCTGAGTTTCCGTAAGATTACAAACACATACTGAGTTTAGGTGCCTTCTGCGTTCGAAATATTTGCTGAATACACAGGTGAGAGGGAGGTCAATTCGGGCGCTGTCTAGGCAGCTTTACAGATCTCTCAGAGTTACACATTCCCCTTAAAGGCTCTTGAGTTCTAAAGTATTACTTAGACTCCCTCCAACAGATCTTCGTCTTGATCAATACACTTCATTATAGGAGTATTATACTCAGCGCCATGATAAACTTATGCTTCATGCCCCTTCCCAGGTAAACTGCAAAGAACCCGCAAATTCAAATTCCGCTCCGCTCATACATACAAAGAAAAGCTTTATTAAAAAGTTTCAGTTAAAAAGGAAATCAAAATCAAATTTAATTATTTTAAAAAGAATTAAGGTGAATGCAATGCGATAAAAAATATGTAAACGTGTGTGGAAGAGTGCTAACAATTTGACAGCCACTGAAGTTTGTGCATTTGCATACATTTCATGGCCAATTATTTGAGCCGTCACCGCCTATGTCACTCTTGATGCTCAAATTGCTGTTCTCCAACGTATCGGCATCCATAAAATCAGCGCCTGTAAATAGTTTTTGTTGTAGCTGCAACTGTTGCTGCTCATCTGGTTGCTGCAATTGCATTTGATCACTTTGTAGTTGCAAGAGCATTTGCTCTGGCGGTGTTTGTTGATATGGAACGGCACTAAATGGCTGTAGTTGTTGTGGTTGCACACGTAATTGTTGACTTGGTTGTACACTGCGTACCAGTTCAGCCGGCGGCGCCATTATATTCAGCAACAACTCACACATTTTCGCACGAAATTGCATATTCTGCAACTCATTCATACGCTTCATCTTTGGCAAGAAGCTAACGAGAAAATTATAGTCGGAATCACCCACATGACTAGTACTGTTGTCGCGCGTCATATCCATGCGCGTTGACTGCATCAAACTCTGCTCCTCACGTTCAAGATTCTCGAGAAAGTGCACTTGATCGTCAGCACGATTCGGACATTCGGATCGGCAGCCACTCTTGCTAGCCACTGCTTCATCTTCGGCTGCATTAGCAACCGATATGGAATTGGATAGACGTCGTACTGCTTGTGGCGTTGCGACGCTAACGAATTCTTCCAACAATTGATCATCATCATCGTCGAAATCATCTTCGTCTGTTGTGTGTGAGGGCTCCATTTTGATGTCGTATGTACTGTGGAAAATCGAATTATCATCATGTGAGCCATTCGAGCCCTCGCCCTCACTTTTGTGTGTATGTGAATTGTAACGGGGACGGCGACTGCCGTTAATGAAACTCATCGGTTCGAAGTAAGTCCATTTGCTGCGCACATCCATGGCGGCGTCGTAGTTACCGGCTGCTTTGAGGCGTTCCACACGGCGTTCGGAGCGACGCACTTCCGCACGATAGGCATCGCGAAGGTTCTTCCATTTACGCTTGCAGTGCTCGACTGGCGAAGAGAGGAAAAGAGGGTAAAAGGGAGAGAAAAGGGATTTAATTGATTTCAGAATAAAATTGAATGTCAGAAAGAAAAATTAAAATGGTCTTATGCAAAGGTTTTCAACAATATTAGTTACATACATAAAATGAAATGACAGCTCAAAAACAATAAATAAACGTGTGCCGCTCAGTACAGAGGACAGAAGTGAAACTTGCTGAGAGAAAATCTGAAAGTTTTAATTCATTGGCAATTCTAAATGATAGTGGGAGAGGAACATTCGGCTTATGGTAACTAAAATATGATATGTGTGCATGTTCCAGACCCGATGTTGTTTGGATATCGCGAAAATAGGGCATCTGTCGTTGAGCTATTGGGTTGGCTACTCATGCGCAAATTGTTTCGGCAAGAAATGAACCAAACATTCGATCGAAAGTTAGTGTTGAAATCGCCGTCAAGGATAATAGGTAATTTGTCTTCTCCTTTGCCAAGAAAGGCAGCACCTCTTCTTTTCATTTCATCTGGCCCTTAAGGGCATTTTATGAAGCTTTTGAAGCCAATTTTTGTTAAGATGGAGGAAAGCTGTGCGTTCGCCTCTCTCATGACGTCTTTATTGCGGAAAAGAAAGAAGAAGAGTGACCATTTCTCATTTAGATCGCTTCCCAAGAGTGCTTTTTTCCTCTGTATGTTGGTTTGATCGTCCCCAAGATTATAGTTGGAAATAAATTGAGCAAGACTTGCATCAAAGAGATCTCCATGCCTCTTTTCATATTTGTCGAACCAATCCGTTTTTTATTTTCCAATTCCCATGTCGTCTAGTCTAGGTCCTTCTGAGTTTTCCGTATTCTTTGACAATCAAATGGCACCGCAAACATTTGTGACTATAACTGAGCTTTTTGACATCGCTTCTCTTAAAAGATACCGAGCGGGTTTCTGTCTTATCATCTCTACATAGCTCAGCAGTGACTGCGACAATATCGAACAGTGGATGTTCGCTCTTATATATAAATATAATTGACTCCTTGTAACAACTGGAGCGATTTTCGGCCGAGCTCCTCCTCCAATTTGTGGCATGCGTCTTGATGTTTTTTCAGCAAATGGAGGGACCTACAGTTTTTACTAAGCCGCCTCCGAACGGCTGATGGTTTTTTGTATGAGGAGCTTTTATTTCATGTCAGAAATACATTCGGATATGTGGCCATTCTCTGCCGAGGGCCTACCGCAATTAGAAAATTGAGCTTAATTTTTTATTTAAAATAATTTTCTATGAGCAGCTCAAACATTCTTGATGTCCTAAAAACTTTTTCAGATTAAAAAAAAATTAAATGTACATACTTTGATTCCCGTCTTTCTCCAATGCTGCATCCACATGGGTTTCTGTAACTTCAAATGGTTCTGTTTTCACTACAGTCACCATCGAGACCGGCTCAAATGGAGTTGTTGGCATTTAAATATCTACGGTTTCATTTACAATTCCACAACCTTTGGCACATCCGCCAGATTCTACGAAAATATCTTTGGGTTCCTCTGTTGTTGATGCTAAAGCCAACTGTTTTAGACGATTTCTTTCTTTCTTCCGTTTTCGATAACTACGAGAACAAGCAGCAGCAATCTTTCTTTTCTGTGCTAATCTTTCTGGAGACAAGACTTTCTTCAATTTTTTAGCTACATCTTGACCCATAGCCTCGATGAAATCTTTTTGACGTGCTCGAAATTTCTTCATATATTCTGCTTTTCTCGCGCGTCTCGCTTCAAGTGCACGCTGGTATAATTCAGCTTCATCATGAACGGCCTTGTCGTTGCTGCTTACGTTTGTATTTTGTACTGCAACTGTCGCATTGAGGGCTTTTTCAGAATCCATTTGACGTAACTTTAACACTAGCACTTATTCTGCTACTAAAAAGCTTCTAATTTTTGAAATAAACAAAAATTGTGTATCGAAAAAACCGTCAACGACAAACACAATGCGCGTTCACTTCTCGCGCGCTACACGTGACGGCGATGCCTCTTTGTAATCGTGAGCTGCTTGATTACGAAACTTGTTATATGAGAGTATAAAAATATAATTTTTCGCGTCCTCATGTAGCTCGAGAGAGTGAGCACACACACATGTGTACCCAAAAAATACACGCACCCACCCAGCAGCGAACGGTAAGGCCTCGGAAGCGAAGAGGTGTAGTGAATACTATGTCTTAGAAGACTGAATTCATAGCTGAAAATTAATATGGTGATTTCAAAGTAAATGCAAGGCCTGCAATTGTACTAATACTGCGATCTAAGATAGTTGTTGCTTACTCAAAAGGCGACTAGGAGATTCAAACTATCACCAAACGCTTACGTCCACATATTTATGTTTTATTTTTGTCTTTTATCTTGCTTGCTGTAAACGGATCTGCGAAGTTATGCATTCCAAAGGTAAGGCCTGACCAAGATTGCTAGAGCGCAGAGTTTACCATAATACAGAAATACACACTAACAAAATTCCTATAAAAGCCTATTTAGTATGTTCACCCATACACTAATACACACTTTGCTTACGTGTGACGGCGAGAGAGTTAACGGAAAGCCGTACAAATTGTTTGCGCTACAAACAGCGGGCGATATAAATACATATGTACTTGCTTTCATACAGACTGTAAAGCAAAGTCAGACATATGAGACATAACAAAAAGCAGCAAGTAATCGTAGAAGCACTCACGAACGTAAACGTACGTTCCGTATCAACTCTCCCAGTCAAACCTATTCTCCCCACCGTGTACGTACAACGGCGGGCGAAGACGTTACCGTGAGTGGGCTGAAAAATTCAGACTTCCTTCTCCTCTTACTGCACTACGCTTTTCATGCTGTTTGCTCAAGCAGATGTGTGTGTTTATACATTAATACACCGTAGAAATGAATGCCTATGCTAAGTGTACGTTAAAAAAAAAACAAATAATGCTAAATACACACGCACTTGTGTTTCGTATATATTTATGTAAAGAAGAAAAAAAGCTTCTATTGTAGCTTGTGCATTGGAGCTACGTCGATAAGTACAGCGCAATTTAGTGCCTTTTACAGAAATTAGACACGAGCTGCGGATACGTTTGTGAGTGTTTCCAGTATAACTTCAACGAATAAATATTGAACCCAGCGCACATTTACCAGATGGTTCGGTTTTTGCACGCACACATAGAAGCTTGCGAAAGTATTTTTTTTATTGCGTACTTGCCAATTTTCAACACAATACTTGCCACGGATGAAAGCACTCCATATTTAGAAGTGGTTGCTGCAGTGTCTGCTGCTTGAAGTTGAAAAAGAGTTTTCTCTCCTCCACTCACCTCCACTCCCTAACTGCACTTGGCTCCAAACAGCGAAAAGAGGAAACGAATAGCGTGTTGTCGAATTGACTATAATCGCGTGAGCGATGTCAACGGCAGTGTAGGAGAAGAACATGCTTCTCAAGAGTTCGGGTAAGCAGCGAAATGTTTAGATTGGAAAGTCTAACGTCCAATAAAGCTCAGAAAAGTACAGACGAACCCACATGCTACCAAAAGTTCGGATTGTGGTAACCTTTGCTCGTCTTAATTTCAGAGAAAAAGCATTTGCTGCTTAAAATTAGAGAAATAGTTAATATTTTGAACAAATTTAAAGAGGGATTTTCCATCAATGAAAATCTCAGGAGCTGGTGCACCAGAATTCCCAGAGAAATAAATAGCTTTGATCAGCAAGTTTATGCTTACATAAAGGATAATGTTCAGTGACTAGGTACTTGTGAAAACCACGCAACTTGCGCCGGAGATAATTTAAGATAAACAGCCCTTTCCCATCCAGAGAGTGCCGTGCGACCGATCCATCGATTTACTTAAAATTTAGGCTACTAAATACCATAGCTTGACCAATTAAATATTAGAAATCGTATTTGTGGTTCGATTTATACCAAATTATTATTCTTCTGAAAAATGAGCCTGGAACTGATTTACTAATCTGGCATATAGTTTTATTTTTTTCCACGGAGCGGACCAGATACCAAAGTCATTGAGACAAACCTAAACAAACTTATGCAGAAACTAAACCTTGCGTAAGTTCGACGTTGGTAAGTTGTACCGGTAGGTATTACCTTACAAGCCGAGCGACAAAAAGTGTTAAGCTTTGGATAAAAATATTACTCCCATAAAACCTAATTACTAAAGAAATCGATTGTATTGTTTCAATATGTTATAGAGTCCCGATTTCCTTGGTTACGACACATGATCAATTAATTACCAAGGTACTCTCGCATATGGAATTTCGTTAAAATATCTCAAAATCTAACAGGCTGGTTTGCGTTCAAAACGACGGTCGGTTAGACAAACGTGGCTATGTCAACTCAACTTTATCATATCGGCATACATATATTTAGATGAGTCTATCCTTTCTCCGGCGGCCGCAATAACCGAGTGGTTAGCATTATGTATTGCCATTCGGAGACCCAAAGCTCGTACTGGTTCTACCAACATTCCAAAGAATATAAAGTCACTTTTTCCAATTGCACTCGCCCTCAAGTGCTCTCGTTTAGAGTAAGCTGTAAGTCCCTCAATTTTTTGGAAAAATAGCAAGAAGCACACCATGAATTGAAGAAGGAGCTTAGCCGAAAATCGCTACCGCGGTTGGAAAACACCGATTAGTTCTCTTCTCTCTCTTGTACTATGTAAACATTTCGCCACAAAATTGATCTATCAGTTAATGTTCATGAAAGGCACACGAGATAGAACGGAAAAATTCCTCTCGTTATGGGGAAAAGCTTTTAATAAGAAACGTCAGTACGTATTTTTTCACGTGTTGTAACATTTTCTGGGTGGGGTTAGAAATAATGCCCTAATTAGAGCAGAAAATAGTTTTGGAATCCTTCTCTGAATTATTCTGGGACTTAGATTTTGAACCGTTATTTATTAACGATGACGAATGAACTTTGTTTTTTTTTACATTTTTATCTTTCGCTGTATAGTTGTTATTAATTAGTCTTACACATCTCAACACTACAATTATACTTGGGAAAAACCATGCGCTGGGCTAAAGAAATTCTGCACACGCACAATCGGCAAAAATTAATTGATATTTTGCAAAAAAAAAAAGCACAAAATATTGCTTTTTCTTTGTGCTTTTACGCATTTATCATATGTACGTACATATGTTTCTCCCGAAAAAATTCGAAAGTAAATCAGTACTCTACATACACTTGTTTGTATGTCAATGAACTGACTTTCTTTGGTTTGGCTTTCAAGCATACACAACTGTACTTGCCTAAATAATACGTATATGATACTAATTTCTTATATACTCGTTTATGTTAATTATATTATTATTATAAATACATATACATAAGTATATATGTATACATATTTAAGCGCATGTATAAATTATAGTTAAATAAAGTTAATTTCAAGTATTTCAAACTCACCATCAACACCCATTACAGCTGCGATTTCGGCCCATTTCTGCGGTGTATTCGTTCTATCTTTATACTCCCCGTACCGTACGTCCCAAATAATTGGACGAGCCTTCACTTCTTCGATTAAACGACGCACATCTAAATCGTCTGGCATTTTTCGCGTTACTAAAAAACTTGTCGCAAAGTGATGTCACGCCTGCCGTTGAGCGATTTTGTATCTCGCTATAACGAATAATACGAAGTATACACGATAAAAGCAACGAAAGTAGTGAAGTGAAACGAAGTGAAATTGTTCTCAGAGGAGAGTCGCAAGAGAATTGAGTTGCAGGCAGAGAGAATGTGCACCAAATCAATTGTGGAAAGTGAGTTAAGCAAAAAAAAAGGAACAAAAACAAAATACCAAGGAAACAATTTATACTGATTGACGAGCAGACCGGCCGGCAGTCAGGCAGGCAGGCTGGTAGCTGTTGTGCAGCTGAACAGACATGCAGGCATGCGGAAAGGTGGAAAGGCAAAGGCCGGTTGCTGATAATAAAAAAAGGCCAAAACCAAGAACAATGAAGAGTACTCGGAATGAAGCAATAAGAACGAAAGGCAGATACATATGTACAAATATCCAGCGAGCTGGGAGAGCCATTTATACGACAGTACTTGGAGATGTACGTGTATTTATGCATGTACGAGCATGTGTGATCATTTGAAGTAGGTAAAGAGAGAGTGCGAATTTAGCAACGCAAAAATTTATGCATATTTATTTGATTGTAGACACATACATACATCATCTCCAAATATTGCTCACAGCTGTTGGTTTTTTTTTGCAGCTTGTGGGCTTGTATTTGGTTGTTTTTCTCAGCCAAAAGTTTTATTGCTGCTTAATTTGTGTATGCTGATATGTGGGGCGATAGGTAGCTCGGCATGCTATTTCTGTATAAAAATTTATAAATATTATGTATATAATATATGTATGTGTATATTAAACAAGAAAATGTTGACAGCTATCGATGTCAATCATATTCGCATTTTTATTTTAATTTTATAGACTTCTAAGCATCCATAATTTTTTGAAAAATTTTTTTTGAAAAGGAAGGAGATAATTTATTTAATTTAATTTACCGACAATATTAATGTAATATGTTTTAGTTTCAAAAAACACTTCTTACTATCAAACAAATATTGTATTTTTCCAATGTTGTGATGAGTTTTCTGCAGCGGCTACAGTCTGAACTTGTGAAACGGTGTCGGTGATGGAGGTCGTGCGATGCATCTGAAATTGTCGAACCTGTTTTATTTGTATTTTTATTAGCGTCTTTTCTGCATGTACTAAAAAATACCAAGTAGCACCTCTTGACCATAATGAACCGGAGTTGGATTCCGAGGCTGATAATGTTGTTGCTGGTCCCTAGATAGGCGAAATTATCTGCCTCCTCGAAGTTATGACTGTCAAGAGTGACGTGAGAGCCGAGTAGCGAATGCGACGACTGTTTTTTGTTGACTGTATTTATTTTGTCTTGCCGACACTAATGTATGGTAGTATGGTAGTACCAGACCCAGTGGTATCCTTCGCTTCCTTATCTAGTCTGGGGA